CATACCCAGCTATATATAATAAATCTTATTTAACATCCATCCATCTATCCATCCATGCATCCATCCGTCTATCTAAAGAGACATTTACTTTCCTTCCCACCAATAAGAAGTTATGCCAAAATTTGCACACCCTGCTGCCTGCTCTGTGCTGTGGGGTTGGCTGTTGTTGCTCTTTGTGTTATCAGTTCTGGACTGGCTGATGCTTCCTAACTTTCAAGTACACTTCCACAAATCCCACTGCTTTGGAGCTATTCCCTTTAAGGAAAATACTCTCTCTTGGGGGAAGAAGGAAGCTCTAAGACTCAGGAAACAAAGGAAACTTACAAGGCCCAGCAAGTTGAGAAAGGGACAAGATTCACAAGTCCTCTCTCCAAAGTAGCAAAGGGAGAAGGAAACCTCTCTGGAGGAGCTGCCTGCAGGTTGGGCATATCTGTTTTATGCGTCATTGCCCGTGCTGAGGTGGGCCTTACGTGATGCCGATGCAGCTTTCCATGAGCCACTTACCTTTTTCTAAGCAACCCCAATACACTCATTGGCTCACCAACCAGACAGGTGGAAAAATTTCTGTGGTATGTTATGCCTGAGGTGAACAGATGTCCGTTTGTGTTTTCCTTAACAAAACCAACAAACAACAAACAAAAAACAATCACACACCAGCCCTTCCCTGTGTTTTCAGTTGGGTTTCCTGTGGATTCAACCACACTCCTTCCCACTGGTTCAAGAAACTTCGTCTTCCAAGATCCTCTACAACTGTGAAAATTTCCTGGTTTTGTTTAAATAAATAGGTATATTTAAAAAATCACCTTGAGTGACTTCATATCAGAACCAAGATTATACCTTTTCATATCTAGTTTCTAGCATTCACTTAGCTTTTTTCACCCTGGCTTATTTTAAACACAGACTTCTACTTAGAAGCCATATGCATGCTACAGCTAAGTCTTGTTTTAGTAGCTACCCACTTCATGTTAGCTGCTGCAGGCATTGGGTGCAGCATGCTTTACTGTGATGCTGAATTATTAGTCATTTGTGTTGGGAAATAGATATGATTCTAGCATCCACTAGGGTTTGCTGCTTTCAATCAGATGAATTTTATTGCTTGACTTAGTTACTGTGCTTAAACAGATTATAAGTAAAATATGAACAAGGTCTAGCCACAGGAAAATCAAATGTCTTACTTCTGTGAATAATTATAAACTTTGAAGCAGTTTCCACTTTCTCATTTTCTTTGCATCACACAATTTCTGTCTACTCATGTACTTAGACAATTGCATTTTAATTATCTAAGAAGACATTCTTTGGAGTATTCATCATTATCAGGCATGAAATAACTACATTTGGGCATTTTTATATTTGGATGTGTATTTTTAATAATTTCATATTTTCTTTACATCTCAAAGTAGCAGGTCCTTTTCTGTGTCAATCAAACAAAGATGAGACTATTTTCAAGTGTGGGTATTTTTCTTTGCTTATTTCAACACAACCATCACATAATACGGCAGTTCATAACTGACTATAATGGTAAATTTTGTGAGTCAATCCTGCTGGGCAACACCCAGTTAGTTATTAAATTAAATATTAACCTTGGTGTCACTAGGACAGGTTCTGCAGATATGGTTAGCATCCACCCTCAGCTGACACTAAGTGACAGTCTCCTAAATAATGAGAACGGGTTGCATATAATCTGTTGAATCTCAAGGTTTTCAAAAGGTTTATCTGAGGAGGAAGTTCTACCTATAGCATATACACACATACACAGTTGCACGTATATCATATGCTTGCACACAGGTAAAGCATGCATCTACATGTCTTCTCCTCTCCTAATGTCTCTGGTAGAATCAAATGCATCACTGACTAGCAGCGTAATGATTGGCGTGACAGGGGCAGTGTGAACCATCAACTGGGGGTTCAGATTGAAATCACAGATACACAAAGAGAAGTTCAACCAAGTCAGAGCTCAGGGTGTCAGGGTCCTCCACACTCAGGGTTACAATTCCTTGGCAGCCAGAGGAAGTAAGTCCCAGCGCTCTCTAGATCTTCCAGTGCTAGGGATGGCCTTTCTACCATCTTTCGTGTCCTCAGCACTTGCATAGTGTTTATAGTCTCATCACTCCAAATTCCAAACCCCAGCTTTCTGGAACCTCATTTCTAATTACTCAGAACCCTCCATCCACCCTCTAAGGGCTATTAGAATGTCTGGGCTGGAAGCCCGAACACTGTCTGTTCTTCCTGTTATCCGCTCAGCTTAGCCTACCCATCATCAAGACTCCAGTGGGGACAGGGTACAGCAATGGAGGACAGTGTACAGAGGGGAGGTCTGGTGGACTGCTACCATGAGAGGTGAGAGGATAACTGTTTATACAGTCAATCACACATGCCCATTAGCAGTCATGAGTTGGGGAGGGGTTTTTCACCCCCAGACTGGGAACAGCTACAGGGAAATCACTGGAGCAATGTGTGTGGGGGTGGCTGGGCTATCCCAGGGTCTTCGGAAACTGTTATGGCTAAATCAAATAGCCATGGCAGGTATCTAAAGTAGCCATGACTTAAGCAGAGTATCCTGAAGTTGTTAACTGTGTAGCAGCCGTAACAGTTGTGACTGGAATGAAGTCTCTTCTGTGTTAGTAGCTGCCTCAAAGCATCTGTGTCTAGATCCAAGTCTCCCTGAGCAGTCATAAGATATTTAAAGCATCCAGTTATCTTGATTACAGCTGGAGTAATGGTGAGAAACATGGCTGTGTGATTGACAGCTCCTATGCACAAGCTGTCTTTTCTTTTTTCTTTCTTTCTTTCTTTCTTTCTTCTTTCTTTCTTTCTTTCTTTCTTTCTTTCTTTCTTTCTTTCTTTCTTCCTTTTTTAACTTTTGCATTATTTCCTGTGTTCCATTTCATAACTTCTGGTTTAATTTTTATTACTTATTTTCTTCTATTTACATTCTTCAAAAAAACATCAGCTCATTTTATTATAATTCTTTAAAATTTATTTTGAGTTGATGAATAAAAAAACGTGTAACGTATGTAACACAATGCTCTAAAATGGATGCAAGCCTGGATCATAACAACCATCTATTTTCTTTCTCTCAGTGGCCACACATCTTAGAATCTGTACAATGACAATATGGACAACTTGCTGTCTCCCACAGCTACTATAGTACTATACAGCACTATAACACACAGTTGTGCTAAAAAAGAGAAACTATCTATTAAGTCATATATTTATATATTTAAAACTTTTACCAACCTCAATTCATAGATTTTTTTCAAATCAGCAGACTAAGATTCACCTTGCAGATAGAGTTATGTTAGAAAGATTCTTTTCTCCGAACATAACTGATGATTTTCCTTTAAGAACTAAAACTAGAATTTACTATAAGATTGAGGGGGCAAAACTGTGCAATATATGAGGTCTTTTACAAATGGAACATCTCTATTAAATTTATGATCCTGGCAAACTAAGATTACATATATAACTAACAGTGCTCCTCTAATTTATTTTGTATCACAAAATAATGTAGACATAACAGTTGATAAAAGTATGTTAGTGTCAAATACTTTTAGGGTGTAACAACATTTATAAAATATACATGCCATTTACTCAAGAAAACGTTTCTTGGATGAATACTTTTAATTTTATTTACAATGCTACTAGTGTTATAAAATGCATAGCCTTTCTTTCAATTATAATATGTTTTCTTACCATTAAAAAAATCATACTTTGCAGAAGACAAATAGCAGTATTAATCACTAAGTCTGGAAAGCCAGTAATGAGTTTGCTTCCCATAGCTGATTCTAACGCCCAACTGCACATCTCTAGAGACCAAGAAACATGTCTGTCCCTTTGTGACTCTCCTCTAGTCTGGCACACAGGTAACAGCAATATATATGCCCCGAGTGAGGAATTAATAAATAAATGAGTTGCTTGTGCTGAGCAGGTCTTCATTTGTGTACAAATCACTCTACTCATCTGGTTTCATGTAAATTCAGCTCTGGGCAGTGAGGGGACTTTGCCTTAATCCAGAATAGAGTTGACTTACTGAAAAAGCACTGATGAGTGAAAGGATGAATGAAAGAATGCCCATTAGGGAATGCTAACTAATTAAAAGCCTATTTGAGTTTTACTGCAACACAGAATGAGACCTGAGAGGGACCCTTAGGGGGTCTCCTCCAATCTCATGCCTGCCTCTTCTTTCAGTAACTCTCTGTGTCTCCTCCTTGCTCTGTTCTCACACCTCATTCCTGCTCAGCCCCTGTAAACGTGGCCTGCTCTGCCAGTACTTCCCTCCCCTCCTCCTCCACCTTGTTTCTCAAGATCCAACTTTAATGGCATCTCCATATGTGCCCCCTCTCTCACACGCAAGGCAACAAGGGCCCTTATTACACAGGCTCCATGGTACCAGGTTCTCTGAATGGCTGCACTGTGGGCCTCTCTCTCTGCCCAAACACTAGACTTGATGCTTCAAGATGAGGTATCTTTTTTCATCCTTCTTTGTCCTTTTAATGCAACATGATCTGAGTCCATTTTCTTGGGGTGAACTGCTTACAAATACCTTTGACTCACATCATCTTAAGCAACCACCAAACATGCCTGTCAGTTGACTCCTCCACATTATACATTTTACACACTAAGATGCTGGAGTGAGCCAATGTGTCAGAAACTGAAGACTATTGCGCAGTGAGGGTCTATGTGGTACTAGAAAGACCCTGAGGGATGCCTGGCAGATTCTGCTTTATGTCTCGAGGTGACCCTCTAGGCAATGCAGTAAGTCAAATGCTTCCTGGATTTCTGTGCCCTTAAATTTAAAATTCAAAAAAAATCTGATGTGTTCTCTTCAGTACTTGTGATGACCTGAAGGTCCTTGGTGTGTTGTAATTAGCTAACTCAAGCGCTCCTTTCCAATTCTAAGACTGTGTCTATGAACACATTCAGATAAATGTAGGCTAATAGAAAAAATATTTAGAAGAAAGTAACACAAAAAATAGACCCCTCCCCCATGTAAGACTTACCACTTCTTCATGGGTTGCATTTTCTACATTAATGCCATTCACCTGAACAATGACAAATGAAGAATTTTGAGGATAATGATTGATTGGAATAAGTTTAAAATTTAAAGATGCAATAGAGTTAAGGATTAAAGTTTAAGGTACTGACCTGCAGTACAGCATCTCCTATGAACAACATCTCTGTCTGGTCAGCTGCAGGGTTGCAAAAGCAGCAACATTGTTAAGGGGATCTTAGCAACCTTTCTTCACAGCAGTCTTTAATCGACATTGTATTTGCATAAACTGACATCCACATGCTTCAGTATCTGCATATGTTTGTGCACGTATGCCCAAATATGTATGCTCTGGTATGTGTGCATATCAGTGTTAGTGTGACTGGAAGATAACAGTGATGAAAGTGTGTGTGTTATGTGCATGCTTGTAGGTAGGTGTGGAATGTGTATTCATGTACATGTACATGTGTGTACATGACTGTGTGTCAGTCTGTGCTATGTATATGTTGTATGTGCATGGGTCTGTGTGTATATGTATGTAGTCATGAGTGTATGTGGGTATGGGAAAATATAAGACACCAGTGAGCTAAGTGAATGACCAATTTTAAGCACCTTAAGAGATCTGTGATGTGAAACACAAACACCACTTCCTCTAATGATGGATTTGATTGAAGTATGTGGAAAGTTTGGTTCACACTTTTCATTAAGTCAACACAGACAATAAATGAGAAATTTCAGAAGCCATTCAGCATCTCCCTCTCCTCCACACGGATGTGCACAGATTGCTGTCATTAAAGCAGGAAGGACTGTATCATAAAGCTGAATGGAATCTCACACATTTCCACTCAACATCTCCCCCGCCATTGAAGAGATAACTCAACATGACTGAACAAAGCTGCACTATGTGAGGCATTTTTCTTTCACATAGGACGAGATGAAAGTCTGTTTATGAGTTTGTTTGAATTTTCAAAGGGCTTTCATTAAATACTGGAAAAGAATAACTTTTTAAAATACTGGAACGCTCTTTAAACCATATGTACAGCTGGATGTGGTAGCTCATGCCTTTAATCCCAGCACTCATGAGATAGATTCAGGTAGATCTCTATCAGGTCAGCCTGGTTTTAATAGTGAGTTCCAGGATAGCCAGGGCTATACCATGAGACCCTGTCCCCCAAAAAACCAACCAACTAAACAACCAAACAACCAAAAAACACATCATATGTAGAGATGACAATTGTCAATGCTATTTCTATTTATTAACAACATTAAATCTTATTGAAAATAAAACATATCCTCCATATGCCTGAATCTTAAAGCAAGGACGTTAAGTAATCCACATGATGTTCTCATCTCACTGAGGCTTACCATAGACAAGCTGCCACAGACCATCCCTTGTTGCAGCCATGTCTCCCTTTGGTTCACTCCTGATGCTCAGAATTCTCTTTCCCTCTGTCCTTACTTCCTCTGTCACCATCCCCATCCCTCACCATCTCAACCTTCCCGCTTCTGGTTCTTTCTCATGGCTTTGCATAGCATTCATCTTCAGCTGTACCAGAGTGGGACTAGGCTCAATGAGAGTCATTGATCCTCTGGCACACAGGAGAGATCTAAGGGATGTGGACTACAAGAGCATCAAACCCACAAATTTTCAGTCCACCAAAAGTCCACCAAAAGATATTGCACACGTAATGGTAAAAGTATTTACAGGCTGTGTATGAGTTTTCAGGGGACTGGGTCTATGTCTTCTGTCAGAAACATATTGAGGAGGTTTATTTTGTCCCCAGGATGGCCAGAAGCCACAACCTGACACCAAGGGAGTCCCTCAGGGAGTAGAGAGGGCAGGAGCTGGTGCTCAGCCATGCCCACATCTATATGCCTGTGCTAGGCCATGCTTGCACTTGGATCTCCATATATGCTATCCATTTTCTTCTGTACCCTGTGCTGTGGCACACTCACATCTGTTCCCTCCGGCCTTGCCACACTGTACCCCTGTGCTACATGTGCCCATGCCTGCATCCCCATTCTATGTCATTCCTTTTACCTGAGTAATGCCTACTTCCTGCCATGACACATCAGTACCTGTATTTCCATACTAAACTAAGCCCCAAATGTTTCCTCCTGCTCTGCCATGCCCTGTACCTGTTCCCTGTGCTGTCTGTTCTGGATGCAGTGTAGTCTCACCAGGACTGGAGATTCATTAGATGACAAAGAATGCTAGGTTGGGCTGACTATGCACCAAAGCAATTCCTCTTAATGCATCTTGCATAGAATAATAATAATAATTTGACTGAAAGGAAGTCTGGTTTATTAAAACTTATCTCTGGCCATGAGCTTTGCATGTCTGATTCAACATATTTCCTGTTCTAAATCAGCTCATACGCCACCAGAACTTCCATCTGGGAGAAGCAGCCACTTCCTATAGTCTCTGGAGTGGATGGTGTTGTGTTCTGCAGGCTGTGCTGGGTCCAGATGCTCCATGGAAGCTGGGCAACAAGAGGATCAGCCCTAAGGAACTACTGCACAATTTTGATGTGCACACAGATAACATGTTATAAATTCCCAAGTAATGAAATTAAAATGTCAGCAGCTATCTAGGTAAATAGCAAAGTACTTGTATAAAATTTCAAATGTTTTTGAGAACAAATTAGCATCCTTAAAGAAAAAGGGGAAATCCTCTTTAAGTAGAAGTCAGTGGCACATGCCTGACTCATGTCTCCAATGCCTCTCTCTTCTTGCCTTAAAAAGCAGTTCTTCTCCATCCACTGGGAGTTGAAGAGGCAGTGGAGGAAGATGTTTGAAGAACAGACAGAGGGAAGTAGACTGTGCCTGCCTATCCTTCAGGAAGGAAATGAAGGCATAGGCAGTCTTCCTCCCACACGGTTTCTTTGTTGTTTGCTATTTTGTTCTATTCACGGCAATAACTAGCTTTACTAAACTACCACTATTGAATTCACAGCAAACTTTAAGCTTTATTTCTAGAACGATCAAGGCTCTTCTATATACCGATGCAAAAAAATAGTCACAAGGCAATTTAAAGTGTTAGCCACAATTTCACTGAACTTCAAATGATTCTTGGTGCAAATTTAATTCTAGCTTAAGAAATAAAAAGACCATAGAATAGCTGTCTGCCATGTAGTTAAGTGTAGCCAGTACCATTAATAACAGCTCAGATAACGGTAATGTAAAACAAACAAACAAAAACAACCGAGGACCATGCTCAGCTCTGGGTCAAAGCCGATGTTGGAGATTTGGCTAGGGGCACCACAGGGAAGCAGAAAATGATCCAGTCGCAGCTGAACAAAAGAAATACTTTGCAGAGTCTAGTCCCTACAAGATGCCATTAGGTCCTGTTGGGTATGCTCATCTTTCTGAAGTCTGATTCAGAAAGGTACAATTTGTCCTTTCTCATCTTTTTCTTCAGATGCTGGCCAGAACCTCCACTGCTTTGTCTGGTGCCTGAGGCTTTCCCACCCTTTCTCCAAAGTTTCCTTTCCTACCATATGGCTGACCTCCATATCAACTTAACTCGACATGCCTTTTTTCTTTTCTTCTTTTCTCTGTTCTCCTCCAGGTAGCTTCTGAGATTTAAAATTTGTGTTTGATTTCCTGAATCACAAACAAACCCAAAGCAAGTTGAAAGTGACATGGTCTGTGATAAAAGACAAACACAAGAGTTGGGTTTGATTTTAATTTTAATACCCCTAAATAACATAATCTGTTTGGTCATGTTGGACTAAATTTGTGAATTTTAGCTGAAAAGTGGGTCTAGCTCATCTCCCTGGAATAAAGTTATTAAACAATAAAAGAAGCATGATCCACATAAACATCGCTTGCAAGTAGGCCTGGTGGTGATAAAGACTTTCAGCTTTCACTTGTTTCAGACTTTATTTCTCACTAATTTCTGGAGGACAACTTTGACGGTCATAGTATACTTTTTATCAGTCAGGTTTTTATTTATTCAGTTTCCTCTTTGAGCCAGGAATGGTGTCATACACCTATAATTCTATAATTGGGAAATTATAAGGAGAATCATGAGCTCAAAGTCATTCTCAGCTACATAGAAAGTTGGAGGCCAGCCTGGGCTACCTGAGACCTTGTATCCTCGGATTCACAGTGCAGACACAGTTAGGTACAGTTTTCCACAGTGCTGGGGTCTCTTTCTTTAAGGTTCTTCCATTAGAAATGTAATGTTCTCATGACCTCATTTTGCATGAGTGTGGCAGGCATTTATTCCTCACAGAGGGCAACAGACAATATCAGAGCAACCTGGGACCAGATAGGAGCATGTCTAGTCTTTTCTTAAGTGTAAATTTTCTATGAAAAAAAACAGGGTAATATTAAAATTTGATTCTGTTAAAAGTAAACAACAAACAATATATTAGTATTGGGAATCTGCTAAAATAATCAGTCCTCTTTGAACTTTTTGTGTTTCTAGAATAAATATTAGAGTGCCATCCCTGAAATAATCCAGGCTTTGAAACGCCAAAGCAGCCCCACCATTGCTGAGCATTCAACTATCTTTGGTGATTTTAAAATATAATTTTCTCAGAATAAGCCTCTATTTTATCTCCCCTCCCCCATTTGGAGCGTTGGGCCCAATGCATGCTAATCCTAAACTCTAACCTGAGCTGCCTCCTCAGTGCAGTAGCCCAATATGAACAAGAGTGCATGTGAGCACACATGAACATGTGTGAGTACAGCATAGCTTGACTTATCTAACATCTGCTGGCCTCACCTTGTACTCCTGTAGTTTCCATGTACTTTTTGTTCCAACACCACAATGGGAATAAAATGTTCATGCATGTTCATTGTTTTGGTGAACCAGGGAAAGCAGCACACCTGCTTATGCAGCCTTTCCCATGCTGTGACTTTCATTAGCTCTGCCTCACAAGCAGAAACCAGTTAAGCCTGTCATCACCTACCCCAGTCGGTCCCTACAACCCCTGAACTCCCAGTGCATCTTGTCCAGTCATATAGGACTAGGGTAAGCAGCCAGCCACAATGGCGATGTTCCATTTAGCCATGTGTTCAATAACCCTGGCTTAAAAAAGGATATCAGAGATGGGGGTAAGGAGGACCATGTGGCCTCATGTTGAGAAGATGGCTCACTACTACCCACTTCAGGGAACTCACCATGGGAGTTCAACATCCAAACTCAGTTCATTTCCCAAATACTGCCTTTGTTAAGTTTTTACGTCT